TTCCGATGCATCAAATGTGGAGTCGTACATTGAGTATCACGCACAAATTCGCCGGTACCTGTATATGTGTATGTTCATTGGCCAGAGTGAATAAATGAATGAATGCCTATACCTATTTCTGAAGAACAGGCCTACTTAATTGACATAATTTCTTCATTGCACACCCCATCATCTTCAAATAACGTTTAGTTATTTAGCCATAGCGGACTACCATAGGTAACTACTTAATAAAGGGCGATGGTCGTCGCGACGCGTCCTGTTCGATGTGGGACTCATAGCGACGTATACAACGCATGTAAAATACATTGTTTATTTACATGAAATTCTAACACGCGCTGCGCGACGACCACCGCCCTTTAGGCAATGATGGGCACACACGTTTGACACCACAATACTCTGAAACTTAGCTGTTCTGCAATAAGAATACTTGGGGTACGGCAATTTAATTTTGAATCATGAGCCCTAGTTTTATGTATAACGCCAAATTAGCGGGGAAAACACACATTAAGTCATCGCTTTTTCCATGGAAACAAGTTCGAGTACCGCTATTTTTTTATTCGCTTTGTGATTTATTTGATGAGAACTTTCCGCTCAGCAAAATTTGAAAAATAGCGAAAATTTGTATTGCTTATCCAAAGTTCCGTTGACCAAATTAACCCAAATCTGCCCACCTTCACCCAGTTTTGTTTGTATTCACATTACACGCAGTTGTGAAAACTACCAATAAGACGCTGACACTGTCTATCAATAATTTAGCGTTAGCGTCATTGAATAAATCATATAAGGGGCTATCATGCGTCGGTTTGATCAGATTACGCAATTTTCTCAGCTGTAACCGCGACCGATCGTCACTGACGGCTTGATGCTATCTGCAACACGTGTGTCTAATGTAATGTCATTTAACACAATCCACGCACTCAATGGACTCCATGTGATAGTCGCGAAATAAAGTGGTGATTAGTTTTACATGCCTATTTCGAAACGCAATCGAATCATGGTATATTAATTCCATATATAGTGCCTGTCTATGTAGCAACGCGACCCGACTATACGCCTATCGATAGAATAAAGAATACACGAGATGTCACTTCTGATTCGTAAAATAAATAACGCTTGCAGTTAGTCGTTCTTTATATTGTTTGCACCTACGATGTGACACGTATACTGGCTGTCTCTTTTTTTGTTTTACTTCGACCGGGAACGCAATTGTGTTTTAATCAGTTGTGTAGATGATGGTCATTATTTTACACACGTGCGTAAACGTTTGATATACAGTCTGTGATAAACCTGCTCGTCTCAGGAAATCTAATGTAATTGAAAACATACTTAAAGGGAAATAAACATGCTGTTGACACAACGACGGAAATGTCTTCGCTAAATAGACAATACTGCGTCTAATCAGTCGCTGTCTAACGAATGGCATATTTTGAGAGTAACCATGTTGTGTGTATATGTGTGTGTGTGTGTGTGTACGTATACATATCCACGACGTGCACAATTATACATTGGTTTTATAGATTGGAACATCTCCTAAACCGCAACTGTGTTAATCATCGCGTAACATTCTAAATACATGTAGCTTAAATTATAAATGTTATATAAGCGCACGTATACTGTAAAACATGTCTTTTTAGCTAGCATGTTATTTTCGCTAATTTACTAGTAGCTAATCTGAAATTTCGCTAATTCAAGATGTCACTAATTTAAAATGAAGTATATTTTTACAATGAAATTGTTGACACTTTAACAAAATTAAGATACGGTTAATTCATGCATGGAGTCAAATTCGCTAAAATGGCATGTAGCTATTTAAACATGTTTTTACGGTATTGTGTGATTCCTAATACCGAGGACAATACACTCGGTGAAGTGTCTCGATATACGCCTATAAATATATTGTGTTTGTTTTAGAAACTGAGAAAACAGCATTTATAAAATACACGCTAACTGTTAAGCTAACGTCTCTCGCATATGAGATATATGTTGGCGGATCACAACTACAGCAGACCAAGAAAACACACGGCCCGGCTATATTATTCTGGTACATGTTCAAGCTGTTTCTATTAATAACTCACGTTTCCCCCACCAACATCGCCGACTTATGAGTTCGCACATCGACTGCTATCGCAACGAAAGTCATCTAGATGGCTTAGCATTACCCATTCAGGAAATTAAGCCTTTGGTTCCTTCCAAACAGCCACGTTTGACATCATCTCACTTATTTGTTGGTCTCGTAATACTATTCGGAAAGTAATTATGCCGGGGTCTTTGGCTTGGCGGTTTGCCGCAAAAAAATTAAAATCGCTGGCTATATATTCAAAAATTAGATTTCCTATCGCGGTTTATTTGTGCCAGTTGATAATAATAGACAAAGTGACACTCTGCGTCACTTGAAATCGGCAGTCGTTGGCAGAGTGGTAATTTTAAAGTAGTTTATTATAATGACTTTACTGACTGTGAATGAATGAATGCGTAGACACCGTATTCACCTTTCAGTTGGAGTCATAATGCACTGTCTATTAAATGTGTACTCTGCTCAGATTCATTTTCTTCCAAGGTCATGATAATCTTGTGAGGTTCACAACTGTTTCAGATGGTACTAAGATTTCGTTGATGAATGGTTTAAATTAGATCTTTGCGTATAACTGGTTTACATAAAGTGAATGAGTGTCATTGACTACCACTTGACATTTCACTGCTTTCAGGTTGGCATGTAGTTGACCTTCAAAATGAACTAGACAACATAGAATAAGGTACTTATTGAAGTTTTCCCACGAATTATGTTGAATACTAAACCCTTCAACGAGATCCTTTATAACCTGTAGAATTCTTTTACTATATTCAGGCTTGTGTTCTAGATTTTACTGGCAATTGTCAATACGAAACATCATTTGAGTATATAGACAACGCGTTTTTAAGTACAAATCGGAACATGGGACTCGATAAATCGGTGGTTCAGAAACAATAAGTCATTTTAATAAAAAACAGATTAAACAGGATTAATTGGTAATAGAGTGTTCCTCGGCAGCACTAAGTAAGTCAGTGGAATGGGTGACTATCACGTATACGATTGTATTTCAACAAAAGAGATGCAGCACTCAAGTGTTCAAGTGACGGGCGCGAAGATGACTTTTTGATTCACGCGTGGTGTTTGGAAATAGTCAATCAACAGACGATGTACTTGGATGCATATTCTCTCATACGCAATACATCGTCGGATTTTTTTGTTGTTGACGAATTCCCTTTTATCACATACTAAGCAGATGACAGCTTTTTTTCTCGGACTACTTAGCTTCGTTTTCCGCATACATGCACTATTTCACGAGGGAGCCGCATCTCGGAAATTTCTCCACTATTAGCACATGTGGCAGGACTTAACGACTCGACTCAGTTATTACCGTGATTTACTAACACACATCCATTAAGGTAGAATGTGCAACGTCGTCGACTCTCAGATGTCGCACGTAAGATGCAACATAGACGCCTGAGTGTGACACGCGTAGATATTTCTACTGGGCGAATAACAGTTCAAATAGTACTTACAGAAACAAGATATTAGTTACGTAAAAACTACATTCCAGTCACGTATTGATTTTCTCACAAATATTCACGTCAATATATATTTTCAATAACGGACCCGACCGCACAGCTATTGCTAACAATAGCTTTGAAAATTGTCATTGCCACCACCTCATTACCAAAAAACAAATTGCTGACTGTCGTCGATGGAGCGATCGCGGCGATAGTTTAAACGCCACCACTGGCCTTGATTAACAGGCTGCTGATGATAGTACTATGATTCATACATACTAGTGTATATTTCGTGAAGCCACTATCTATTTCAATAAAGGACTATATATTGTGTTATTTCAAAATCATGCGACTGAGGAATGCGTCTTACCTGGAAAAGAAACACAGTCTCAATAACATCCGAAGAGATATCACAAACAATACAACTCGCGTGAAAATGAAAAATTCCATTCCACGGGTTACAGAATTAACAATGCTTGCTCCCACGCATCAACTGACAAATATTCGGGTATTCGGTTGGTCGTAGTACTGGAGTTATACAGTCGATTATTGATTCTTACAATACCGGTAACTTAACAGAAGGGCCTTTTTTGTCACTTAATGTCAGGGACTATTTTTGAAGATTTCTTTTGGGGGAATTGTGGTAGAATTTGAGGGGATAAACAGTGTTTCAATCGTTGCAGGCGATATGACATGTCCGATGAATCTAATACAAGTGATTCCGCGAGATCGCCAACATAGCACGCAATTAGAAGGCATTTTGTTGTCTGATCTCGTGAATTGCCTAGTTTTATACTTCTCGTTGTCATGCAGTTGGCAGTTAGCCGTGTACTATTCGCCACCACAATGACTACGTTGTCACAGTGAAGCAACTCAACCCCAGTATGAAGGGTTCTCCGGGGAGTTTACAATTAAAGGTCGAGGTCAGAGGTTATTCGTTTTTGTCGTAACTGTACTTTCCGATGTGTTCATTATAGAATGATAGGATAAGATTAAGATAGGATGAGATGAGATAAGATAAGATAAAATAAGAAAAGATCGAATCAGCGCCATCTGAATGAATTTGGTTACAAACTGTGAGTTTCGCGTCTTATTTTGAACAATGCTCTTCAATAACTCATGTACCATTGAACATCGTATTGTACTGTGTTGTGCTATATTATATGTTTAGTCACTTCCGTGATTGTATTTTTAAGCCATATTGTCGCTAGTCGCGAAATAAGTTTCGTATTCATCTAGCGAACATTGCGCTACGTCGAATCAAATTATAGTCGAGAACCAATTTATGTATGATTAATTTAATATAACCTAGTACGAGATGAAAATAGCAAAACCTGCACATAAGAAGTACAACGTTTGTAAATGATTTGCTTGATAAATAATTGGCATCGTATTCGTCCCATCATCATGACTCTCTCTAATTGCCCCCCGACAATTATATTTCTCATTTTGTCTGATTTGAGTCCGATTTACATAGTCATCGTCCTTTTCCTTTCTACATCGATTTCGATTTGTTGTTGATTGTTACTGTTAAAGCTGTTACAATTACTGTCCAGGCTTTTGTAATGAGCGGTAAAGCCATTCTCAGATTGGCTCCTCACGGGGGCTCTTCGAGGTTTCATCTCAAAAATTCTTTTTTTAACTCCGGGGTTAGGATTTTGTTTCTTTCGACGAGTTCCAGTTCGTATTTTACGCGGGGCTGGACGTGTATGGTTGGCCATGGCCTCGTCGGTGGAGCTTAAACGCGATCGCGTGCGAAAAGAGGGTTCGTTCTTACCGTTTGTAGCGTAAGAGTTATAGTCTCTTCCCCAGTGGCGGCCTTTCCAAAACACATCTACCAGTAAATGACGAAATGCTTTGCGAAAGTCTCTGTTACAGAAGGCGTAGATGATGGGATTTAGAGCGCTGTTACAGTATCCAATCCAAAAAAGTATAGAAATAAGTATATCTGGGTACGGACACGCGTCCCCGCATATCATCGTAGTAGTATACCACAGAAAGAACGGTAGCCAACAAGCAATAAATGCTCCCATAATAATTCCCAGGGTTTTTGCAGCTTTATGTTCCTTTGTTAGTCGCTGCGTTGATCCCGGAGTGTCCCCTCCCGATAATTCCAATGTGATGGCCCGCGATGCCTGAATCAACAACGCTTGACGTCTGGCAACTAGAAATATCTTGAGATAGGTAAAAATCATGATAATGCAAGGTATCCAGAACGACACACTGGACGAAATTAAGGTATATATTTTGTTGGTTACGAATGGACATTCTTCGGGGTGGGTTTTCTTGTATTCCAAGTGTTCGTTAGTCGAATACCAGCCCATGTGAATTGGCACAAAGGAGATTAACAAAGAGGAACTCCACACACCGCATATCATTTGAAATATACGTTTCTTGGTTATTTTGTTGGGATATTCGAATGGCTGTGTAATAGCCACGTACCTATCAACAGCAATACAGCAAAGATGCTGCAAGGAAGCGTTACTGAAACACACGTCAAGCGAGTTCCAGACGTCGCAAAACGGGAGACCAAATAACCACTTGCCTGTTAGTTCAATGCTAGCGTTGAACGGCATTACAAATAAAGCTACTAGCAGATCCGTGCACGCCAGTGACACAACTAAGTAGTTAGTGAGCACGCGAAGCCGTTGGTGAAGGCAGACTGCTAGCACAACAAGAATATTACCACCAATAGCCAGTAATATAATAATCGTAAACACAGTGGCTTTGATGACCACCACAAATGGTCGCTGGTCGACTGTTGTTTCTTCTAGCACAGACACGTTTTCCGTACTTAGTTCCGACAACGTCATGTTTACCATTAGACTCGGTGCTATTAAAGTAGTCATTCTGTCTCCGTCCATTTCTCTTTAGGCGTATTCCCTCACTGTGAATCCAGTCACGGGGGAATCAATATAACCGGGATCGGTGCGTAGTTAGACCTTGAATATATAGCTGACATCATACCAAACTCGGCGCTGACGGCGTGTTCAACATGTTCGAGTACTGTATTGGACACGCTAATGTACTACTCTTCAGTCATCGAGGCGTTCAGCGTCACACTGTTTTCAAACCGGATACCGGAATGGAAGCTGCGCATCGTAGACTGCCAGCACACGTCGGTCGGCGATTTCAACTTAATGTGCGAATACACGTATAAACTTACATTTCCTATATAGATAATACTACGCTCGCAGTACTCTTTATCGTGACACCAAATTTATACAAGCTGTACGTCATCCAGTACGTCACATCCGCTCCCAATAATCAGAAATTTGAGGATTCGGCCAGAAGCAACACATACACTTCTGTGTAATATCTGCGACCCGAAGAAGTCTCCATGCAGTCAATTGCACACAATCAAGACGGTACTAACTAGCTATTTTTTTCTGCCATGGTCGTTGAGTGTTATCTTAGATGAGATTAATGGAACTCGATCCTATTTAGTTAGTATAGTTAAAACCACGGATATTGCTCGCCGCAGATTGTACGAGTGAGGTCAGAGCAATGCGAAGTCTCGACAGACACAGATAGAGCGGCGTGCTCACTCTTAATGTAGCTTCAACGTCACTGATCCGGGTATTGTACTACCGACTGCTTTATGCGCTGGTGCAATGGCAACTGTCAGCCAATCACAATGTCCGTTGTGTGCGTAGGGAACACACTCGAATAGTCACGATTCTCTGGTCATCAAATGAAGAGATCACAATGTGTTTACCTGTATGAAGCGAATATCCCTGAACGCCATTATTTATTTGATCAAAATGTGGACTCTTTGGAGATTGTAATCCCCCGCAAACTGATTAAACCCATGTCCGAACAACATTACCCTTCGTACAATAAACTTAATTTAAACCGAGCGTTGTTTACTTTTATTGTTGTTATCACCAAACTCCCCCGTGGATATTTATTTACAATGTATTGTTTGAGATCTGTTTATATTTAAATCATTTTCCATATCTGTCGTTTCTTTTTTTCTGAACGATGACATTGCTTGATTGTTGTTATGTTATTCATTTGTAGCTAGGAATCTATTTGTTTTCGCGTAGTTTTACATGCATTCAAGGTAGTAAAATTTCCATTGGAATAATGATAATACATTACGTCATTGGCAGACTAAATGTATTTAACGCAATTTTAAGCTAGATATATGACTAAAATATATTTTAGACAATTGTTTCTTAGTAGATTGTGTGTATTAATAATTAATTGTATTTGTCTGGGTTTTAATTTTTCGTGGGTGTGATATGTACATTGAAACACAATTTAAGCGGTTGTATGTTTCATCATATCGATAAATGTCTGCCTACGTGACTGGGAAAAATACCCGAGAACGCAAATGTTTTGTTTTTTTATTTTCTATGAGGAGTCTGATTTTTGGGAATGTCTGGTGACCCACATTTGTTTATTTCATTTATTGTACCCATACACCATCCAAAGTATAAACAAAATTCACTTCGTCCAACCCTCTTTAAGAAAATTAACCTCTCGTCTGAAACTTTCAAGAAACGCCCGACAATTTACTGTATTTAGTAAAGGGAACTCAATTCTGTAGCCCGTATTTACACTCGACTTGTTAAAACTTAGTTTGTTGATGTGTATTTAACGGCGTGTGAATAGGATAATATGTCGTGGGATGGAAATTCAAACAGAACAATGTACACCTTCAGCAAACCAAAGGTGGTTGTACTAATATAATCCGTAAAAAAAGAATGGCGTGGTTTAGAAATATACACGGGGGATAACAACACATCTATGCAACAAGTTCACGTTTCATTGTAATGAGGTACGACTTTCACTGGCGGGTGTATGTTTGTTATTACTGTATAAAAGCTTCATCCTTAGCTTGCAATAGCTGTGGCCTCTAGAGCGAACAGAGGAATGTTTCTTTGCTCGGGGAAATCGTTGAAGCGGAAAAAGCACCTTGGTTATGAAAGGGCTTGATATTGGGGTATTCAGCTATCGAAGCTATCTCATTGAATGTGTTCATGTATTTGTGTGTTGGGCCATGGATATGAAGGTATTGTAACGCCCAGAAGTCGTCACCCTTATTTGTTACGCGGTCCTTTGCTTTCTCCCCACATTGTCAACATGACGCTCCCCTGAGATTGCTATCTGCAATGGTTTGCAAAGCTAGTGGATGAGACGATTCGCAGAACAAAACGAAGCGCTCGTTCAGTTTATATTTTTAGTGATCTCGCGGACAATTATATGTTACAGGCAACCACTTCGGCGCATCACACACGCAGGCATAAATGAATATATGGATGGCCCCACGCCGTGTTCAAGTCTGTTGCTACTGACAGAGGGCGCTATGACGGGATGATGGAAATCGGTGTGGAGTTTATTTATACAGTGATATGTTTAGGCATGGTATGAACGAATTTTCAAGGGAAAACAAAAATAGTGAAAAATGAAATTTCAGCCAAATTTCATACAATATTAAAATTGTCCCAGGGAACTGCTTATGCATATTCTAGAGCGCAGGGTTTATAACCCTACACATATTACGCATTAGTTGCACTTGGACGTGTTCTAAACGTGCACTGTCTACGCATATTTTGCGGAGAGACAGCTTTTTGTCCCCATCCTAAAGAAATATATTCCCACTCAACTTGGATAGCCGTGATTTAGGCAAGATGCATGCATGGCCTGAACTTGATGCCACACATCAGGTAAATGGAATAAAGTCGAATGATATTCGTAGTGTAGTATTGAGTCGATACACATGAATAATAAAGAATAGTCTGGAAATGTATTTATTCGATTAGACACAATTACAATATACACATTTCTAGAAAGTTTACATTATCACGTGACTTTTTTTAACTGAACCAATTGAAGTTTTGAATAGAATATTGATTCTGTATGTCTGCGAAATAATGTACTTGCATCGTATCAATTCAGGCGAAGTAGTTTCTGTGTTTCATTTTCATTCATTGTGTATGTATCAAATCGAGTCGTGTCAGTTGTGTGTCAGAGTGTATTCGTCTAGTATCTGACGTGTCTATGTGAAATCCAACATACTCATGGATGGATTATGGATCTTTTTTTTTCATTTTGCGTTCGTGGACGAATATATGATTTCATGTTACGAACTATGGAGGAATGATGAGAAAACAATCTCTGACGTCGTCATCGGAAGACCGTAGGGTTCATATTGAGGGTTTCATACGGTGGTGTACCTCTCGTACCATGGATTGCGAGGATAATTGAATCATTAATCTATTGCTCTTGCATCAAAACCACTTCCTGTAAAGCATAACGCATTATTCTTGCGGACACTTCAATTTTTGTATCTAAATTATTTACTGTACTGAGACCGGACGATAATTAACCACATATATAAGTGTTATTTATTAAATTAAAAGTTTTCCAGAAAAAGAAATCATCTACTCGATATAGGTTCATATATCAACAACAATGTTTAACGGATTATAATATACGGTTATCAATATTTTGGCATTGTGTGGCGTTATTTAGCCAAATGGTCGCCGAAATCTCGTTAAAAGCTCGGGCGCAACGATACGAGATTTTTTGCCCGAGAAATAGTGTTTAATTCTCTTCCGCCATTGCGTCCACTGGTCCAAATACCAGGGTCACAAGGCCAGGGTTACGGTGATTCCATTGCGGTAACGTGGGGCCACTATTTGAGGGTCAACAACACGTCACTTGTCCCTCTCGCACTCAACGAGAACTCGGCGGCCACTCGCGACTAATGTACATATTGCATGTGTGACACGGGTTCTGAAAGTTCATAAAATGGCAGCGTTAAATTCGATATCGAATAGAACGCGATACATTTGAGAGGCCAAAAATGATTGGGAAGATATATCCAAAAAAAAACAGTCTAGGGGAAAATAACATAAAGTGCTGAACGTGAAAGAATATTATAACTTATATTATTTGTAAACGAATGACGCAGTATGTCGTCTACGTGCTTCCACGTAATACATGACGGGCATTCTATGCAGCGCGCTATTCGGGGTTTGAACCATAATAACAACAATGGACTACTCGCAGTGTCATATTGAATTCGGAGTCGATTAAACGCTCCACGTACAGTGTGCCCGCCATATAATATGACGACGTAGTTTCATTAGTTCTATAATAGAAAAAACGGATAACAGATAGCTAGGCTAATAGGTAAGCAACAAATCTTTTTTTATATTCTTAACAATATATACATAGAACATATTGAGAGTTGCCATTGTTAAATGCAAATATTGTTATCTTATATCACATGGCATTAATTTTTACCCTGTTTTGCATTTTCAGCATTATTGACTAACATTCAAATAAAACAACTAATATGTTTATTGATTATTGGCAAATGCTTGATGACTTGGTAAACATAATCTAACTGCGCTCACCGCTATACCTCGTGTTTTGTGTGTTAAATAAAAAAGTTGGTCCGGCGAGCTTATCTTTGTTCGTCTTAAAATTTAGGCGTGGGTAGTAAATACAAGTTGTAGCTGGCTTTTGTATAGATAGAGTAGAGTAAATGCGGAAAAGTGTACGTGCCTTGGACGAGCATACTGTATCAATCGTTGGATCGATTCTCGGTTCAATATGACACTAGTATGAAGAGTTCATTATTGTTAATATGATATCCCATCAATATGTGTTGATCCGGAACGCTAGCACCTAGTGTGAATTGCTTTACTAGCCACACCCAAATGGCACGTAGGCTATGTGTGAATATGATCTCGCTTATCGATGTACACATAACACTATGTAGATGGGAAAATATTTTTCAGGGTGTCTCATTGCATGTTTTTTCTGGCAGAGAGTTTAGAGGTATGCGCATACCAAGTGAGATGCAGCAAAGTAATCGCTTGAACATCTACATCAGATTTGTTATATATAGTATATGTGTTACAGTCGCCTACTCACATAAACTAACATGACTGAAACGCAGACATTCCCGTTTATTTAAAAGGCCACCAACAGGTCAATACGAGGACATGCTCTGATCACATTCTACATTCGCCCTTAGCTTTTTGAGGCTTTTTCTCCTGTCGAGGTTTGCGAAGGTACGTTTCAGGAAGAAAAATAATTTGTGATGCCAAATCTCGAACAATTATACGCCCCCCTAATAAGTGCATGCTAAAACACAGCAAATTCTCTATATCACCAGAGAGCAACATTAGACTGAATTGTTAGATTTCAAAATATAAATTAAGTTTCCAGTAGGATAGTAAATTGTGCATTCATCTGTATTAATCGTATTATTCTCGTGATGAATTCCACAGCGATGCCGCATATATATCTAATTGATTCGACTGCTGGCTTTTTAAATTGCAAATGCAATATAATATTTGTCAAAATCACCCTTTTCACTCGATCTCAACGCCTTTTTACGAACTACAGAATGTGGGCCGCACGTACTTACGGAAGTTCTTTTAGCGTTTGAAATATAATTTGTCGGGTAATCGACTCGCAAAACAAATACCGGCGATTACTCTGTTATGCATTTAATTTCCTGTCCCATGTAGTGCTTTTCAAAGTTAAGCAACACAGGTTCAACAGGTTGTTCGTAACAAAATAATACTTTATTACAGAAAATATGTGCGCTTTTGCGACTTAAAGGTAAATTATTTATATATCACGACTTTCGCTATTTATAGAAAAATATCACCAATACCATTAGCTGTCCAATTGATAAATTCATCATGATACCGAGAGGGGGAAAGATTTTGATATCAGATGCGGAAGTACGCCCTTGGGGGATAGAAACATAATCACTTACAACCGTAACTGGTCAGCTTTTTTGTCGGGGAAATACTGGTCGTAATTAGAAAATTAATTTCTCAATGTTTTTTTCTTACACGATCTCTGTGATGTTTAGTGTTTTCTTCCGGTTATGACTCGCCTGTGTACATATACAATGTATACAATCAGGTACAACACACAGATATGCGTACGTATCCGCTAATATTTCTATTTCGCATTAAAAACGTTCCGATGTTCAAACATAACTTAGACTAGAGGACTGCGCGGTTTTGTGTTTTTCCCGCGAGATTACTGTACGTCAACATGACTGTAATCAAAAACCTGTGTTAGAATAACACTGTATCCCAGAACTTGTATTTCTGCCTTATATCCGGGAGTCAAATATTTATAAACTCAATAAAGGTCGTATTATATGTCTGCCAATAAGCCGTTGGTAATCGGTCTTTGATTGCATTTGGGCATTGTAGGTCTAGATTACTAGTTCAAACATTAAATATTGGCATTCCTCTCTTCACAGGAACATAAATATGCAAATATGGCAGAACTATTATCTATCGGTGTATATATATATATATATATATATATATATATATATATATATATATATATATATATATATATATATATATATATATATATATATATATATACACTTATTTTGAATGTATATATAGTGATTGAGGATGTGTTTGTTTATACAGAAAGATTGCAATATGTTACTGATGTAGTAGTCCCGGTTGATCATGTGGATTCTCATACACTCATCTGGATCTAAACCTTTGCAAATAGCAAAACCGCCTCAGATCCGGGTATTGTGGAATTATTTATAAAGAGCTTGTAAGGAATGGAAAAGTAAAAAAAAAAAACTTACAAATTTACAACCTGTGGGTGCTGCTACCATATTTAATAAAATAAGTTTGAAATATACAGTCACGGTGCTTTTTCAAAAAAATAAATAAAACGAGAAATACAATTTCTCCGGAACCTCAAAACTTCCAATTAAATCAGTTTTATCTACTCCTTGCTTTGATGCAAGTACTGTACAAGCGTGGCCACTACGCATGCGTACATAATCCCGTTCGATAACATTCGTAACGAATCTATTAATTCCTCATTGTAATTACGTCATACTTTATTGCAACATCTTATATCACAGTATACTATCAAGGTGAATATTAAATACAGGACATTAAGGAGAAGACTCAATAACAGATATCATAACGGAGGTAACATCGTCATATAAAGGCACAATGAATTATGTTTTACATGTTAAAACAAACGTGCAATCAAATAAATAAACAGAAAATCGGTAAATCGTGGTGATCTAGCAAAGCGTAAAATTTGTCACGCAGCGCTCGTCCGAATTTTGCGTAAACAAACGGCGTATTGCGCACGCGGTATACACGTCGTGTATGAATAAGAACGCAACCTGGCGTATACAATATAATTCGTGTATGAGAGGTTCCGCATGACAAGTGCGTCGTTCTGTGTAATAGCAGCATTCGAGTTAAGATGCGAACATAGACCAATGCGTGGGCGTGACGTCTTCACTATCTCACTAAAATAAGCTCCTCATTAAAGCGTTCCGCACAAATACGGCGAGTTTATTTCGTTTGATGACTGGGTGCATGATTGCATGTCCATTACACGCATATACCTAAATCTATTCGACATTAGCCACTAGCGCAACTAGTGGATATTCTGGTACACCGAAAACCAAAGATGTATATTGCTCAAAATATTCTTTAAACGAACTGAAATACAATACGGATCTGATATATTGGTGTATATAATTATATTTACATAACGGTCCATTTCTAGTCATATACATGTACACGAAAAAAATTGGAACATTGTTATTTATTAAAGTTCTGTTACGGCACTTCATTTCACTGTTCAAAACATTACACTACGTAATCTAAAACAATTCATTATCCCCCTTTTGTTGAATAAAGTAAGCACTGACGTTTATGCTGTTTTGAACAATAGAATTATAAATATGGCAAACTTCACTGTACGTTCACATATTTCGGAGACTGTCACGGATTCTTATTCTTATAAATACCCGACACTGAATTTCTCTCAAGTTCTAGTAATAAGTACACATCACTAACAAAAATACTTTTAATGACTATATTCAATGCCTCAGCCGAGCGAGTAATGCTCGTTTGAGACTATTCATGGACACGGGTCTCTTTCGTGAACTTCAGTGAACAGTGTTCCGCGTGGCAGGTCTCTATGGCAACCAAGTTTAAGTCGTTGACGGGGAACTAATCTGCTGCAATCGCGGTCTTTTCCCAAATCACTCGGTATCTTCTTGGAGAGTTTGGTAGTCTGTTTGCTTCTGTACAGTATATGATACTGGCATTTTTTCTTCCATGTTCAGAAAAGGCTAAAAGGAGGAAGTAAATGTACGATATGTAAATGTAAAACACGGTTCAAAATAATAATAATAAATAATGTAAATAATTATGTCCTATTTCGTTGTCAGTTGTCAGCTATTTGAAATATAAATACACACCATTCAGCAAGGTGTCTACCGTAAGCGCGTTTGATACTTATTCAATTATTCAAATTTAGCTTACCTGTTTGTCTTCTCTTGCAGGGGGCCTTCGAAGAAAGTAACAGAGAGGACAATATAAAAGATTTACAATAGCTATACCACGAAGAAGCCTGAAAAAAAACATTAAAATATTAAATGTGTTATTTTCGTATACATGGTCTGATGTGAACGTATTATATCGTTAATACGGTTTAAGGTATTAATCGACGACTATAGTGAGTGGGTGCGTTTTCATGGATTAGTATGCTATGCTAATCTTCTCAAGTTCATCAAATATCGAAATATAATCTCCACTGTTTCTTAGTGATGAACAAGGCACGTTGTTTTATCTGATGTATGAGTTAACTGAACCGGACTAGAACAATTTAATGGAAAAAGGTATATTTAATTACGCTGATGTAGTAAAGTTGGAGGGCGCTGCGGCACATTCAGATCTGACATGTCCATCCACTGGTATCCTATGTTGTAAAACGACTAAAATAATCAGTGTACAAAATGGACAATTATTCTAACAAGCCCATTCTAACTTCCGACGTAATGACATCCGACGAAAAAAAAAAACGATATACAAATTTGGTAAAAATATCATATATATTTAATCTCAGATTTTAAAAATGGCAGGTGATTATAATTTATTATATACTACAAATGAAATATCTACAGAGTCGCTATTCAGATATGGCTTAACCAATTCACGTTTGTTAACATTCCAAAAAATAAATTGAAGTATAGGCAACAACGTGTATGTATTAGTGTGAAGTAAAGCCAGAATAGAGAGTGGGCACTATTATAAAAAACGAACAGTAATCTGATTATGGTATCTTGTACTATTTTGCTAGCCTTTCATGTGCTGTTAAGTGGAAATCACCAGGAAACTGACAGCTATTCAGCTAAACCATAATATCTGACACAAACCACTTCGTGGATTTCGTTAAACATTTCTAGGTGTGCGAGGTCGAGATGATGATGCCATGTATGGGTTAAAAGTACTAGATATACGGGTTTCTAATACCGAGTGAATTATATCTATAGCAACATCTCCATTAAACACACAAACGTAATAATAGTATAGTGGGTAATTTGACCATTTTAAATCGAATGAAATCCTTGAATGTACATTTCAATACGAATTGATATCAATTCGCAGTCAACTGATTGGTTCATACAATCATTCCCGCGGTTTTGTGATTTCACTGCCGTGTCACCAGAAATATAGTTTTCAGTGAAACGGCCATGTTTTACGGCCAAGTTTACTCCACAATCTATGTTGGTTGCGCTCAAATTATATATTATTTATATGGAAAAGTTACGAGAGTTTAATTTGGATTCTGGGCGAGGTCAGTATATGGATTCTGGGCGAGGTCAGTATATGAATTCTGGGCGAGGTCAGTATATGGATCCTGAGTGAGGTAAGTATATGGATTCTGGGCGAGGTAAGTATATGGATTCTGGGCGAGGTCAGTATATGGATTCTGGGCAAGGTTAGTTCAAACTTAGTTCATTTTTCAAGTATGTGTGTATATATATATATTTACCAAGCAAAGCCAACAGTCTTCACAATTTCACCACTAAGGGCAGGGCCTGAGGATTTAAACGGTAAAAGCGTCAGAACAAAATCGTGCATATACATATTCAAAGACATAACTGCGGAAATACGAGACTGGGTGTAACCGCAGTATTAATATTACACGTGTAACTGCATCTGCTGGTGCATACATATATCGAATGTAATAGTCCAAACAATAGATTGCAATGATAACGTAGATGTATATATATAATTATGATTATTTTATAGTTTGATACTGAGAACCCAATTTACAAAATAATCTAGTCACTAAAACACAGAAGTCATCCCATTTCAACAATCAATACAATTAACATGCAAAGCCATAATTGTTGTTAAATCGTTTTTAGAACTATTTTAGCAATTATAAGATGGACGAACACTCAATTAATATTTGTATTCAGTGCGCGGGTGACAACATGCCCAACACCGGCAGGGCGTTGTTGCAAACAAGATGAGAAGAAAGACCCACGTCACAGGATCTCGACGAAAGTTATTGATGTACGTGGTTCAAGTTCCAAGCGTCATCTACACTATGTCTGATGAATAATTAATTAGTTCATTCAGTGCTCGCAGCGATGTGTGGGGGTCTGTAGGGTAGATTATCATGGTATCGGCTTACCTAGTGCAAATCCTAGACAAAACGCAACATCAGCTATGGCGTATACACTACCATATACGGATACATGACGCAGGTCAACTAGATAGCCCATGGTTGGCATCATGGAGGAGTCGACCATTCCTGCAATTCGATATTAGACTCTTCCAATAAGTACCGCCCTCTAGCAACTAAGCGCTTGTATGACGTCAAAATGGCGTGGGTGTAAGCAATGTAAATTCAAATTATACAACTTAGTTTGGTTGTCGATCGGTCACTATTTAGAATATTATTTTGTATGACAGACGACCACAGATAAGACCAATGCCTTGGACGTGTCCTTTACACCCAATTACGACACAGAAACTCCGTCTCTAGAGGGCGTGGTTTACAGGAACGGTGCATTATTATGTAGCCATTGTCCACGTGCTTATTTGTTGTTACATTGATTGAACGATTTGCAAAGAAAATGGCATGTGCTGCAGCATGAAGGGACTAGTTATAGTCAGAAAGTACAGGCAGAACTTATATTGTGAGTGTGATTATATTAGATGGGCAATTGTTGTTTCACGTCATTAACACCACCCTTGAAGTATGACGACTGTCATTAAATTAAACGATCGCGTGACTATTACGATATGATAACAATTTATATGCCCAGTATGAATACAATAAATACTGCATTGTGGGAATCAGGCAAGGTACAATTCAAAGATGGGTGGTGTGCGATTCAAATCTGTTTATACTGTCAACTTTGGCAAACGTGTGTTAATGTTACATGCGACTAATAACGCACATCTTTACAACTGACTGTTCGTGCCACTATTAGTAAATAGCTTCGATAATATGTTTGTTAATGGCGCTGTAAATTTATTCTGTCAACACGATTTTATTTTACACGCCAGGTCTAAATGTATAGACGCGCGTGGCAACAACAAAGAAAGCTTACCTATAGCGAATCCCAAGAAGAAGCATGGCGCAATGAGCTCATTGATATTACTGGCAAATGGTATCTGTTGAAGGAAAAAGAAACGCCATTATTTATTCGTTCTTCTTCTATTTTAACAAAAAACATTTCTTTCAACGACACCCATACTTTTTAGCAAGCACCACAGGAACATGTTGAAACAGCACTATTGGAAAGGTGACTAAGTAAACTAATTACGATAGTGTGTGAAATTACATATTCCCAATAAACTCTAATATAATGGTCGCACCCGCTAAAAAATTTGTATCATCCCTATTTCAACAAATACATTTGTAACCATGTGATCATTTCGATTTACTTTGACTTCAGGTTATATAATCACTGTTTTCGAATCGATCTTATTTCCATAGTACATGTGAAGCTTATACAGTTCTAGGCACATTATTTCATTATCTCGGTTCTTTTTAATTGCACGGGTAGTTTTTTTACTTTTTCCCCCATAGGGTCTTATGTATTGAATTTGTATTTCACATACAGTAAAATTACGTAAATTTCACACATTTGGTTTGTTATCACGATTTAATTTTATATAGGTCTTTGCATATCAATGAGCAATTTATTCGCAAAATAAAAAAAATTCCAAAGACTTTCATGAAACTGTATTGAGCAACCCAACCACATTCATCATTATATTCACTACTTATCTAAAATATATAGTATAATTTACATATCAATGAATTTGTCATTATAAATCTATACATTTATTGAAGCGACAGTAAAGTCGAAAATATGTTATATTGGGAGAGAGTGTCACAACAATGATGCAGACTAATTTACCAGCTTTCTTACAACCTGTTACTTGTACAGACAATCATGTCCATCTGTGAGAATTCACGTTTC